ATTACTTTACTGTATTAGAAATCACACCCAAGTATAAGCCATAAAACTATTAGTTATAAAAAGTTTGTTTAACTTTTGAATTGATGGAAGCATTTGAGTGTATGTTTGGAAGAAGAATAGGGCGACCGATGGTTCAGTTGAAAGAAAAGGTAAATTTGAGATAATATTTAATCAAAGTGTCATAACAACCGCTGATAATGTGATTAAAGCTACTCTAAAGTCAACACCGGTGTGCTGTAGACTTGTATTGTATAAATATAAGCACCGGAATCATCATATTATACTGTATACTAGTATTAGTCTGCAATGCACTCCAATATGTTTTATATTCATATCGCTTCAGACATTACTTAATTATTTCATTTTTCAATTCATTTGTATTCACTGTAATCAACAGAATACTTGTTATACTATAATAAATAACTGAATGTATGATTAATTCAGATTTAAAAACATGTTTATTGACAACACACGTCTGTTTTTATAAAAATGTTTCATTAGTAATTAAAATACACTGTATTTTTCAATAAATTATATTATTAATGAAATAATGAAGTTGATTTTAAATATCAAAGGTTACAAACATTGTGTATTTGATAACATAAAAAGCTAATCAAATATAGCTAATAAAATAAATTATAAATTAAAAAGTAGTATAAATAGAGGAAAGTTTTTAATAGTATTGAAATAATTGACTATATTTCTAAAATTCTTAAATGCATGTCTGTATTAATACTCTATATTTACATTGACTATAATAATAAGACTAAATTTTGTATTACTTGTATTGACCCGTTATAATAAATATAGCAATTATCAAAATTGATTTAAACTGACTATAAGTTAAATGAAGTCGAGATCACTGGCAGACGACGAGACACTAAAATAACTGAACGAAGAATTATCGCAATTATTGATGTCATTGTAATCATTAAGTTGTGGGAAGAGTTGACCACAGATTTCATTAGTCTTATCCAATGTGTCACTCAATAGTGTAAAGCCTTCTAAGGTTTCAGGCGTTTCGTAGAAAAATTCCTGAAATGACTATTCATTTTCAATATTATTTACAATTATTGCATAAAAATAACTATTCAGATAAATATGACATAAGAAATATTACTTACACTTTGCTTTTTATCAGTTATACAAAAAGTACAAACAGTTTTCGCTGTGAAAGAGCCGACTCTCGAGTTCTTGAGGCATATGTCAACCGATTCTTCGCCATTGAGTCTAATTATGAACACAATTCATATGATAGATATTGAAGTAGATGTGGTAATAGTGGTTGACTTACAGCGCATTCTTAACGTTATTCAAGTGTTGGATATAAGAAACAGCCAAACGTAAGGTCTCTATTTTGGACAGTTTCCTGTCGGGCGGATCAGTCGGTATAAGACTTCTTAAGACAGTAAATGCTGTGTTGACAGACTCCGTGCGATCCCTTTCCCTGGCGTTGGCCACCTGTCGCTGCTTATGGATATCGTACCGGCGCTCGCCTTTTGACCGGAACGCAGACAACGAGTCACTGGTATTCATAATCTTCATCGAGAACTCACTATAAACTTGTTTTCAGCTAAAAATCTCTTAATTTTAGGTTTCCATTCGCTAATTATGACTAAAACTTTATAAAACTTTTTTTCATATAAGCAATAGATAAACTGAATTTGTTTATTATTATTACTATTAAGCTTAATTAATTAATACAAACTCATACTGATTAATTAATAAAACTTTTAAGTAGTTTATTATAGTTTAATATGGGATACAATCTTAACTATCCATATGTATGAGAGATTTTAAACTGAGAACCAATTTTTAAAAGTGGAGAAAATTGTTGCTTTCATCGGAGTGTCGATTAGCAAACAGTTGTCACCACTTATTACACTAATCACTACTTTTTTGCCAAAACACAGAGGACTGCAAACAGAGTATGAATGAGAGGAATGGTATACAACGGAGAAGTACAGCAGTGGAGGCATAGGTCACAGTCTATCCATTACACCCACACTTACACTTCCTGTCCTAATATGTGACAAATTATGCATAAATACTATGTCTAACACGTGCTCATGAAAAATGAAATCAATATATAAGTGACGGACACTTAAACGGGTTTAGAGTGAAAACATAATGTACTACTAATTGCTTGACACAAATAGTCTTAAATAAAATTATTGTTAGACAAAGAGTACTTGGCATTAAAAAAGTTATCGTGTTAAAAAGTTTTAGTTGTCAGTGAGTATTGAATATTAGTAGAAATGTTCATTTGAATGACTATTCAAGTTATAAACATATGGTTCCGTCACTTATATATTGATTTCATTTTTCATGAGCACGTGTTAGACATAGTATTTATGCATAATTTGTCACATATTAGGACAGGAAGTGTAAGTGTGGGTGTAATGGATAGACTGTGACCTATGCCTCCACTGCTGTACTTCTCCGTTGTATACCATTCCTCTCATTCATACTCTGTTTGCAGTCCTCTGTGTTTTGGCAAAAAAGTAGTGATTAGTGTAATAAGTGGTGACAACTGTTTGCTAATCGACACTCCGATGAAAGCAACAATTTTCTCCACTTTTAAAAATTGGTTCTCAGTTTAAAATCTCTCATACATATGGATAGTTAAGATTGTATCCCATATTAAACTATAATAAACTACTTAAAAGTTTTATTAATTAATCAGTATGAGTTTGTATTAATTAATTAAGCTTAATAGTAATAATAATAAACAAATTCAGTTTATCTATTGCTTATATGAAAAAAAGTTTTATAAAGTTTTAGTCATAATTAGCGAATGGAAACCTAAAATTAAGAGATTTTTAGCTGAAAACAAGTTTATAGTGAGTTCTCGATGAAGATTATGAATACCAGTGACTCGTTGTCTGCGTTCCGGTCAAAAGGCGAGCGCCGGTACGATATCCATAAGCAGCGACAGGTGGCCAACGCCAGGGAAAGGGATCGCACGGAGTCTGTCAACACAGCATTTACTGTCTTAAGAAGTCTNTCAATGGCGAAGAATCGGTTGACATATGCCTCAAGAACTCGAGAGTCGGCTCTTTCACAGCGAAAACTGTTTGTACTTTTTGTATAACTGATAAAAAGCAAAGTGTAAGTAATATTTCTTATGTCATATTTATCTGAATAGTTATTTTTATGCAATAATTGTAAATAATATTGAAAATGAATAGTCATTTCAGGAATTTTTCTACGAAACGCCTGAAACCTTAGAAGGCTTTACACTATTGAGTGACACATTGGATAAGACTAATGAAATCTGTGGTCA